CAGTGGTGGTTAGGTGGAAACTGAAAATGGATAGTTTAGTTGGTGTTCATTAAAAAACATAGCTGAATGTATTATATATCTTTGTCCTTCCTTTCCTTGGGACATCTCCTCTCCAAACTGCCCATTTCCCATGATTCTCAAGAAGGTAAAAAGCATAAAGAAAAATCTCAGTCACTGAATGTTCTTTGTCCAAGAGGGACACTGGGAGCATAGTATGACTGCTTTTGCCCAGGTCAGTAAGGCAAAGGGCATTCTCTGCTGGTGCAGGGCTCGGGGTGGGGGTGGGGGGGGCGGCAACAGATCTCCCCTCCACCCCGTGTTCCGGAGGCAGCACCCAACTCAAGTCTCCAAACCTCTGCAAAAACCCATACAGCTTCAGAAATACATTAGAGACCCTTCCAGAAAGCTGAACAGCACTAAACAAGGCTTTCTGAAACCCTGGAAGGGTCTAGGTATTCATTCAATAAATAATTGAACATCCACTATGTGCCAGTATAGTATAAAAACATGATTCCCTGCTCTCCGAGCCTGTAGTTTACTGAGAGACTTCGCCGCCTTGAACAAACAAGCACAAATATATCTTTTTTTTTTTCAGGTTTGTTTATTTTGAGAGAGTATGCACGAGCGGGGGAGGGGCAGAGAGGGAGAGAGAATCCCAAGGAGGCTGCAAATACATGATCTTATACACTGAAAAGTGCCATGAAGGGAAGTAACAGGACTGACCTTGTCTAGAAAGCCAGGGTGGGGCTGAGATAGGAAGGGTTCAAAGTGAAAAACAAGGCGAAGAGGAGGCATCCAGACCTGAGCTGTTCCAAGGAGTAAAGAGAGCTTGGAAAAGCCCTGCAGCCACAGCAAAGACACGAGGGCTAGAAAATGGAGGGATGTTAAGTCAACAAGACCAAATGGAGCCACATCGCAAGGAGACCGGGCCTCACTGGGTGCAGTGGGGAATGACAGAAGGTTCTGGAGAGCATGCAATGGTCCAAGGAGACAAAGTTCAGACAGGAGCGGATGATGGCTCTGCAGAAGGCGGGGGAGGGGAGGGGAGCAGACAGGTTCGAGAGGCACATTTAGGGGGTAGGACTGAGAGGCGGGGATGTGGGAAGGCACCTGGCTCTAACAGCTGCTTCAGAGGGTGTGGCCAGACCCAGTTATCTGAGCTACAAACCAGCACAACCCCCTTTGCCTCGAAGCCCAGTTCTGCAACCCCAGCCCCCCGGGGCACCCCTGCCTAACTTGCAGGCCTAGAGCTCTTTGAGGAGTGGGTGTGGCAGTGAAAGAACATTCAGGATTGGTGGTCTGAAGACAAGTAAAAGCCATATGGACTCTACACACTGACCGAGCAGGTCCAAAAGTGCTTTTATTAAAAAACAGCTGGCACCTTCACAAATCACCTCTATATAAAACTCAAGACAGGACGTCCTACCCACAGAAATAATTACTGCACTACAATTTTCATTAAGAGGCAGTGAGTGGAAACCTATTTCCCAAAATCTGAGAATAGCTGAAGGATCACAGACGTATCTAAATGACATCTTCCCTTGAGACACTCAAGTCAGCATGGATTCAGTATTTATTCACTTTTGTAGACACTGGCACCATGTAAATGAAGATGGTGTACGTACCACAAATTGCACTGTTAGGGGAAAGACATCCCCGTCTACCTCAGAACCTGAAGAACGAACCTCCTACCACTGTGTGAATGGGAACCACACACCGAGACACCAGGTGTCTGCGCAGGAAATGCCAGCTCGGCCTCCCCTAGTCTAGCACACTCGCAGGGATTAGACCACTCGACAAAGCATGTGACTAGAGAGGCGCTCCATCTTCGCAGGAGATGATGTTCCTGGCCATTCAGGGAAATCTAGGCTTGGACAGAAGCACCCCTGCTTGTCCCCCACGCTCCCCTGCCTTCACCCCTGCCCTGGGCTGGAAACGGGAGAGACCGCACCGCCTGCTCTGCAGAGCCAACACCTGGACTACTTCCCTGGTATGGAACATAAAGAAACCCACAGTGAAATGCAGTCATTATTCCAAAGTGTGTTTTTATTTCATATTCATTGAAAGAAATAAAATTATATTTAAAAAAATAGAGTAATCTCACAAACTGAGGAAAGCCAGGAACAAAAGAACAAGTTAAGGGCTTTTTCCTGAGAGGCAGATCTAACAGCTATAGAATGAACTTTCTCCTCCCTAGCTTTTGTCAAACAAAAAATTGCTTCCTATTTCTAAGGCATCAAAAAGCACTCTGAGTGCTAACTGGGTGGTTCAGGTACAAAGTTTCAAGCCTCTAATGAGGATTAAGAAACATCAAAAGCTGATTTCTTTTAATACCAATTATTAAATTGCAAATACTACCTTTTTTTAAACGTAAATTTCAGAATTTCACACTCATGACCCGAATTTCAAAAATCTGGTCATATGCTGTTAACATCTTACTACTTCTTAGTAAGAATCCTAAGTATCTAAGCTCACATCCCAATAACTGAAAGGGGCCAGACAGCAGAAGAGCTCTGATCTCCCCACCTGCAGCCAACACCGGCCAGAGAGCGCCTATCTCCGGAGACTCAGACGCAGCTAGAAATTTACACGAAAGCCTAATTCCTAAACCACTGGACCCGCCTGCAAAGGCAGATCAAATCCTAACGGTTCGTATGTAACCTACAGAACAAAAGTTACAAAAGTCATTTTACAATTCCCAAAGCTCTAAACGTACCCATTCCCCATACTTGGTTTCCCTCAATTTTACACTAATGAATCTATCAAACTAAAAACTTTCAATCCCAAACACTTCAGTAAGACAGTCAAGACAACGGTTAACATTTTTGTTCTACGAATACATGACTGTTTGTGCTAAAGTTCTTGTTTGCATAGGTAACAGGAAAGCTTGAGTCAATTTTTCCAAAAGTTTCAATCTTGTGTTCTGATTTGAAATATCAAGTGTACACCCCTAATGATTTCCCTACAACTTCTTTTTCCAAGTTAACTCAATCCATATAATTGGTAACCATAAATTCCACAGGGACATCAACTTCTGAAACACAGTTTTTAGTAAACAAGAGATTTAATGTAACACCTTTCTAGGTGCTTAAAGATTCAAGTGGCCTAACTGTACCTCTAATAAGGTTAATTATAGAACATGGGTCAGCTATTAAAGATACAGTAGGATTCTGGGGCTATCTCCTAGTTAGGCAAAAAAAAAAAAAAATCCATCAACCTGTAAGTACACTGATACTCCAGCCAAAGTACATTGGGGTTGGACCCTAATAGAAACCCCGATCCTGTCTCCTGGCTGTCCAGGGAGTGAAGCCTCCGGGGACGGTGGCTCTCCTGGAACAGCACTGGGTCCTAGTCACATGCGGAAGAGGCTCCATGGACACAGTGATGGCTCTGTTGAATCGCAGGTCACCATGTTATCTTCGCCTGCCCAAAAGAGCACAGACCAACCTAAGGGTGCGACCTGAGTTACATCCTGGTTAAACTGTTCCAAGTCCTAGCGCAAAACAACAATGTGGCCAAAAGGTGACCATGTTCAAATGAGATACCTGGTAACACAAATGTTTTAACCAGAGGTGACTCAGAGGTGACTCAGACTCTTGTCACCAGCCTAGACTGATACTGACACACACACACCGACACACACACACCAACAAATCTGAGCTAGAATTGTGCTAAAAAAAAAA